CCAGCCCTAATGTCTATGAAATCTATTAAATCTATGAAATATCCTGTTTACAGTTTACATCCTGTAAGGTAATGGCTTGTTATTCCTCAAGAGAAAAACCCATTATTTTGCAGAAGATGGATGAAATCTCAGACACGTTGTCTTAAACTGATCACATCATACTCCCTGTAAAAGCAGTTAATTATTTAGTTTGAGTACAAAACACGAACAACATAATCCACTATCTTTACCAAACGGAAATATAGCATTGCCAGCTAATTAAACATAACTATATTACTGTACCTGAAAGGTGTAGCAACCCAATTGGGAGAGCTAATAGAATTGTTTTTATTACTGGGAATGGATTGTGGAACAGACTGTTTCAGTCCTGATGATCCCTCAGTTAATTTCACCTCTTTATTCAAATGGAGGTTTTTTGTTCCTTGAAGACATATTTTGTTTTTTATCTAAAAAAAGAAAACAACTGCACTGAAACAGTTTGGAATATTTTTTACTACTTTGAAACAACAATATATAAAGAAAGTATCAGAAGCAATTCATCTCATCGCATCTGCATTACTTATATCATTTAAACCGACAGAACAACACACACACACACAAAACGCATGCAAGCCAGATATGAATGACTTTACAAGGCTAAATATATTATAAGCTGTGTAACAAAATATTTCTCTTAAAGATTTAGGTGCCTAAAATGAACTTTTAATACGCGAGACTGATGTGCACATATGTATGCATCCATCTCAGTGCTTGTGAAGTTCATTTCTCTTTGAGTGCCTTGCTAATTATCATCTTATCCTGATTTTTTAGGAAAGATTTTTTTAACAAATAATTGTCCATGAAAATTAGCTCTGTTTTGCTCATTAAGAAGTTGCCTTCTTTTTCAGAAATGAGTACAGGATACAAATTACACAATGCAAGTGTAAGAGAACAGAGAATTGAAAGAGAGAAAAAACAGGCTAAGAGTTCTCTAATATGGAGTTTAGAAGCTCTTATTGTAATGCCATACAAACAAAACGTAGCTGACAAAATACATTTTACAAATTTTTAACAGATAAATGGCATTAAGAAAAGTCTCTTTCAATAAGACATACCAAACAAAAGGGGGGTTTTGTTTTGTTTTTAAAGATATACAGAAGCATTAAACATTTAAGTAAAGCGTTTGTGGTGGAAGCAGGGGTAAGAGGAAAAACAACAAAATGCCCAACCTCAGTCTTATCAGTTGGAAATCCTTTCATGAAGTCAGGGGACTGCAAGTCTCTGGGGCTGCTCATTCCTGCATAACTACCTTCAGAATCAGATGTTAGTTCTTGAAGTGACTCTACAGAGTTGGCCTTCTCCATTTTTACTAAACCTAAAATTTAGAACATGGAGAAGGAATATTAGATCATGATAAACAGGCTTATAATGCAGCATGCAAAGCTATAAGGCTACCTTATATTTTGAACAATTTAAGAATCATGAGACTTATGGTCTAATAGACTAGTTCACTGCAGTTTAACAACTGCAAGTAATTACCAATCATTTTCAAGCATTCTCACAACAAATAGAAAGATAGCTTCCTTTCCTGTTCTTTTCTCTAACCTGATTTATGCCAACTGTTGCAACAGCTAAAGCTATTTTGTTAATAAGGAAAGTATTTTACTTTTTTTATTATTTCCCACAACTTGGCCAATGAAAATAGACTAAACACTTCCTAGCCTTATTTCTTTCTAGGTCTCTTAGTGGTATACAGCGGCACAGGAAAAATGCCCATTAGTTTTATAAAATGGGATTTTCCACAAAATCTAAACCTGAAAACAAACTGTCTCAGATAAATGCATGTTGAAAAAGGAAAAACAAAAATAACAATCTTTTAAATACAAACTATTTGCCAAAAAGGTGTGTTAAACAAAAAAAAAAAATCTTGTAAGGATGATAAAGTATAATGTTGCACATGGAACCTGTGGAGGGTGGACTCTGAATTATATCTGAAAGATTGTATCCTCCAGAGCTATCTGACCGTCTTCGTGGCTTCTTTTTTGCCTTTGTTTTTGCCTTTTTGAGAAGAGCTTCCCTGTAACAAAAGGGGATAATGGTGTGAGTATTTCCAAATAAGGCAAACTTATTTTAAGTAACAAGCCCATCTTTCATAGCATCTTTCAGGCCTCAGTATGAGCAGCTATATCCCATGTATCAAACATCTCTACAGGAGCACGTGGCAAACTAATGAAGTTTCTCTATCATGATTAGACTCTTCCCCTCACACTCTTGACACCTGCAAAAGTGTTATACCAGATATGGGTTTTTAATGTATTTGGCACTCCAAAGGCACAGAATGCAAGCAAAGAAAGGTGGTAAAATAATAACTGCAAAAAGCGGTAACTGGAACCAAAAATTCAAGCTTATTTCTGAAAACTGAACCACATTCCTTTTTACTACACAATCTCACTACTAGAAATAATTTGAACATTTTTCTCCAGAATTAATACAGAAGCAGTCTCCTCAGATCCTGCCCTTCTTTCATTTTCTTCTAGCCACCTACTTCTCTTACTTTTGTTACTTCTCTTTCTAATCCAACAAAACACTTTTTCAGCATGTTCCTTTAACAACATTTTCATTATGTCCACCCTTCCCCTTCAGATCACTTCACTGATTTCCCCACCTCCCCCAACACTATGCAGTTTAAACTGTTCGTCAAGGGGGTCCATAATTACGTTCCTACTCTTCTCTCTACCGAACTTGTGTGTCTTTTGCCATCTCCATTTACCCCATTTTAATTATGATAGATTAAAAGGAAAGGACCTTGCTGATGCTTTGTGACATTTTCCTGTAACTGGAGAGACACTGAAACAGTTTCTGAAGGAAATAAAGGTTTTACATCTTTCTATTTTTATATTTCAATTTTATATCCATCAATTGGGTTCTACCAACATCTTTGACTTCCAGCTGTGAACTAACTACTGTGCTCTAAAGGATGCTGTTTAACTGGTCAAAGTGTTGAATGGCAAGAACTGCCGAGGACAACAATTTTAGCAATCTAAAGGAGAAAAAAAGAAGAAGAAATAAGGAAAGAAATACCTAGTTTGTTCTGTGGTAATTTCTTCTTTCAAACACACAAAATTTTCTCCATCTTCAGGTTCCAAAGAGCTAATATCAGGTCCATCTTGATATGGAGTAACCACTCTCCTGACCATAGCTGGAATCTGTAGTATCAAAAAAATATTACATTCCTTATCAGTTATATACCAGAAAACTGGCTATTCTTTGTAGAGGTACCAGACTGCAGTCATTTAAATATATACTTTCACAATGAAGGTAATATCACCATTACACATTAAAACCCAAGAAACTTTGTAGTTTTAAACAAAGAAAAAGCGGAATTCCTTTACAGATGACTTAGAATCTGAGAATTCATTTAACTCTAAACTGCCTAGAACAAAGGTCAGCAATGTACAGCCCACAGACCAGATGCAGCCCACAGCACCATTTTTATTACGTCTGCAGGGAGAAAGCAGCAGTGGCAGCACTGTAGGTGGGGAACTGGGTGGGGGGAGACAGAGGGGAGGTAAGCAGTGATTGTAGCTGCAATAGCACAAGCTAGCTTGCAAATAGCTTGTGCTCATAGCTAAACTCTGTTAAAAGTGGCTTCAGCCCCAAAATGTTGCCAACCCCTGGCCTAGAATAACTGACAGATAAATGCTGCAGGCTTATGCACACACGCCAAATCTCGTATTACTATGGTATGCTAACACGGGAACAGGAAAGCCAAATAAGCAGCTCTCCCCTATGCTATCAGTTCTGCTAAATAAAATGTCCTATTTTCCAATATTTTTTCCACCATATGTAATTAGCTGACACTTGTTAGTTTGCTGAAGTAATTCTAGAACTTAGTTTCTCTGGTCCCACTGATTCAATTAATGGTTTTTACTAATGGCATTAATGGAATGCAGATCGTTGCACCCTGCCATGGCTAGTGAACAAAGAACGTCAGAAATAAAGAATAAACGTTAAACTTATTTCTGGGTTGAATGCTACACAGCACACCTAGTATGGGCATATACAGAGTAAGTATATGGGATGTTTTCATGTTTCTTTTTAAACAAACAGAGTGACTTTCCATCAAATGATACATAGCTTACCATCTTTCTGTAATAAATGGAAAGTTCCTTCAAAACTTCATCACTTAAGACTTGAAGAGTCCTAAAATAAAATACAGTTATATGCCATCTCAACTACTATCCTTTGTTTTACCACCTCCCCACGAATCCGAACATGAATCTGTGTGGTTCAGATAAATCAGTGTTCCAAGTACATACTAAATATGTAGAGACAGCGGTCCTTAAATACAGAAATAACGGTCATTAACATCCCAGCACAGATATATAGGCAAATGGTAAATTAAGTCATCATGTACCTTTTCATGCTCTTTGGTGCCCCTGGGATACAGCATAGGTGCATTTATATGCATACGTTTGTCTGCTCCAATGTGGAAATCCACCTTCAATGTATTTTAGTTGAAAAGGGCACCGCAGCCATTTTCTCAGCACCAATGCACATTTCACCATTTATACAAATGGATGCAACGCAGCACCCGGAACTTTTAAAAGTGCCCGGCACTGCATCGCATGCGTGGTGCATCTGTCCAAACATTCCAAGCCCTGAAGCAGTTTCAAGATGTCTAAAACACTGCATGGTATCATGCTATATAATTTAACCAACTGACCATAAATATTTGCTCTTCATCCTTTGGAAATGTTACATTTCCCCCCCATTGCCCTAGATCCAGGTTCAGAGTGAGAAAAATACAATCCTGCAGCTGTGACAAGTTTTTCCCATGCAACAGAAGGTAACAATTTAAAGTGCTCTGTCACAACTCAGAGCCAGACACGGTTCTTTGGGTGAATCTGATATCTTTTACTAGACCAACTTAAACAGTTGGGAAAAAAATTTTAGCATGCTTTTTAAATTTGGGGGAAAAATTTTTTTTTTCTCCAAATGATTTAAGTTGGTCTAATAAAAGATATCAGATTCATCCAAAGAACTGTGTCTGCCTATGCCCTTAAACCAACACAGCTATAATCTACACCCCTATCACAGCTGTAAATAGGAAAAGGACACTTTGTACAAATGAATAGTGGCAGCGTTTAGCTTCTCAAAAGAACCTCAGTAAGTTCTTATCTCTAACTGGGATGCATCTGGCCCTTCCAGATTTGAGATGTGGCATGTTTTAATTAGGAATAACTATAATACAAGAAGTTTAATAATTATAGCTCCAAGACACATAGTTAGGCTACTAGTTAAAATGATAAATTATCTTTAGACATGAATAAATACAAAAATTCCCCCAAAAAAGTCAAACTCTAAACAGTTCGAATTTAGAGGTTTAGGGGTGGGAGGGATTTAAGACTACCATCCAATAAACAGATTCTACACCTGAAAATTATAACAAAAATGTATATATTTTCCACGTATAGAATCTAATTATTGGGGGATCATCTTAGTTTAGAGTAAATACAGTATACAAAATTTTTACTCATTCTTCCAACAATCCAATCTTTTGACAACAGAAGCTTTAAGTATGCTGTTTAAACACCTCCTCTTACCTTGCTTCAAGTAAAGCTGCCATATTCAATGCTATGAACTGCAAGCAAGAAAGTTTTAACTGTTCAGCATTATACATTGCTGAAAACTCCAGAAGTTCAGCAGCATTCCTCAAGGTAACTGAAAAAAAGGAAATGAGAGACTGAATTGGACAACATGCTCCAATTCTGTTTTATTCATTTGCTACTCAGAGACATACAGACATAAGATTTAAAAAATGAAATCTCCCTTCCTGGACCATTATAAATAAAAAGACTAATACTTAAGTGGTGCTCTGTGTAGGATAAGGACAATACTTTTATATAATATGAAAGTGACTGCTGCTTTA